ATATTGAGCATAGTCTTGTTGAAACTGGTTCTGTAAATAAAACATCTGAAGGTAGGCCTCTAAGTGTGAGAACACCAGAAATAGAGGAAGCAATATTGCACGAAGTCGAAGAACATCCTGAAAGGAAGATCGCTGGACACTTAAATATTTGCCATCAAATTGTTTGGAGAATTTTAGTGGATTTTTTATTATATCCTTACTATATTTTAAGACTACAGGCATTACTTCCCATTGATTTCCCAAGGCATGTGACCTGTTGTCAGTGGTATCTTCAAAAAATTACACAACATCCGCAATTTGAATTTGATTCTGTTCACGGACGAAGCTAATTTTTCTCGAAATGTCATTCAGAATTTCCACAATAATCATTTGTGGGCAGAAGAAAATCCCTATTCCTCAACCGAAACCCATTTCTAACACCAATTTTCGGTTAACGGATTGGCAAGAATTATTGGCAACCACTTTCTTGGCCCATTCTTCTTGCCGGGACGACTTGACGGACAGACTTACCTCAATTTTCTACAACAACAGTTACCTTTGCTGCTTGATGATGTTCCGTTAGTAATAAGAAACAATGTGTGCATGATGGTGCACCAGCGAATTTCAATTTAGCGGTTCGTAATTATTTACAAACTGTTTATACAAATCGTTGGATTGGCCGCGGTGGGCCCCAAGAATGGCCACCCAGACCCTAACAGTTTAGATTTCTTTTTGTGGGGCTATCTTACGTCATTAGTGTACACAAGTTCCATTAACACTGTAGTGGAATTGAGAGAAAGAATAGTTACATCTTGTGATAGAATAAAAAACACTCAAGGGATATTTCAACGAGTGCGCAATTCCATGAGAAGGAGGGCGGAAGCATGCATATTACAATTTTTGTAATCAATTTGTTGATTGTAATGTTATGTTTATGCTATCAGTTGTTGTTGTTCATTACTCCTAATGTGTTTAATTTTTCTAATTATATCAATAATAATTTTGCAAGTTAGACAATAGAACGGTTTTAATTTTTTTACTCAAAAACGGCGCATCGAAGGAAAACAATCCAAAAATGATTATGTATTTTATATTGAAGTTGGAATTCAAAAATAATTTTTATTTGGCCAAAAACTATTTGCGTATCATTTTTTTCTTGAAAAACATCGAAGTCAATACCCGTACGCACGCCAATGTCAAACCTAAATATTATTTTTGCATTGGAAAATATGCAGCTTTATCAAGTTTGCCTACGTACTAAATATCAGTGAAATATCTGAAGCGGTTCTGAAAATATTTATTAATTTTCATTTTTTTCCTAAAACTTCAACACACCGAGTTTTTGTAAGGAAACGTTTTTGGATCATACTTTATAAAGCAAACTGACATTAATTTTTCATGCAGATTCACACCTTTAAATATTCGCATATCGTTAAGGAACGTATAATCAATCAAAAAAACAGTGTGATAACACTTAACTTTCAATGTTACTAAGACCAAAATAACACTTAGATACTACCTTGATTTCATAAATTTAAATAACGATTTGATACACAAAACATACAGCATCAAATCTTTAGGACTGACCGTTTCTTTTACACCGAAGCAGCCGGACAGGCAGAAGCCTAAATGCCAGGGCATCGCGACTGCTATGAGGATTCCACAGAATCTTTGTTGTTCCGATTTTTGAACTATCTAAGCTTGGTAGAACTGGAAAAAGCGTTCTTTCTACATTGTTCTACAATCTCGACACCCTAGGGACAAAGGAGCGGTCGTATCGGCCAGTTCTGGATGTACTAAGTTCGACACGCTTAGGATGAGAGGTGGAAGTCGGGCGGGTCCGTCTGATCGCGCGGCGGCATCATCTAGGAGAGCTCAGAGGAGCAAAGTCCCTTGGCGTAGCGGTGCAAGAGAGCAAGATCGCCGAAGGCTATCCGGTGCGAAAGGGTCCCGAGAATTTTGGACCATAAATTAAATTTTACTAATCATGTAGACCAATTGCTCACTCAACTAACAAACATTTCGTTTATTATAAGAACAGCCAGTTACAACGTAGGGAAAACACAGTCTTGGTCAGTTATTTTGCCTTATTTGAAAGTGGTATATATAGCATTTCCTTTTGGTATGTCTGTTCCGAAAATTGTTTTAAAAAACGTGCTTACTGTACAAAAAGAGCTACATGCAGGCCTATATTTTTAAATCTTAAAATAATGAGTGTTGTATCATTGTTCACTGTAGAAGCAGCAACTTATTTTTAAAAATAAATCTCAAGTATAAGTTATGGTATTAAACGAAAACAAGATATTGAATTAGTAGTACCTAAATCAATACCTGTGGATGAATCAATCATCTGTTATGGTTTGAAAATTTATATGTGCCTCCCTGATGACATCAAAAGAATCCACAAATTAAAGATATTTCGCCGAGAACTAAAAAACTTCGTTATTTGTAAACCATGCGCGAGTTCTACAATTCATTTACTTGAGATTGAATAATCGTATTCTCCAGAAAATAATGCATATTTATCTAGGTAACTTATTCAATATTCTGTTGATGTAATATGACCTATGCATCAATGAAAGCTGTAATTTTTTAGCTCCTGTATACGGGTATACAGGGTAGCACATCGGAAACGAAACAGACGCATTTACTGGCAGCTCAGTTTTTTTTAAACGCTCAGACCCGTCGATTTTGTTTTCGAAGGAGACACAGGTTTGGCAAAAAATCACGTAAGCACGTGCAGCCCCCTAAGCGCGGGTGACACCACCCCCAAAATCTTAAATGGAAAGGGGGGTCGAGTGATACCTTATTTTAAAGGTCTTTCAATTCCCTTTATAATGATATAAAATTAATGTACTTCGGTTCAGTAGTTTTGAAGATTTATTGATTTAAAGCTTAAATAAAACTAATACATCATCATTAGTGCAGATCAATACATCTGGCAGCAAAGTAATCTAAAAATGAAGAATGAACTGACCCGTTAGACAAGTAAATGTTGAAAATGGCCACCATGACTCTCCATTCAATAATAAAGATTTTGCTCAAAACGTTGCCGCACATTTTGCAATATTTGAGGAGTAATTTGAAGGCACTCATTCACAATTCTTTGTCACAGGTCTTCTAATGATGTTGGCTGAGTAGCATAGATTTTGCTTTTTAAATGACCCCACATAAAGAAATCCAAAGGTGATAAATCGGGCGATCTTGAGGGCCATTCAATGACACCTCTTCTACCAATCCATCGATCTGGAAACGTCTGATCTAAATATTGTCGAACACGTAATGCGTAATGTAGTGGGGCACCATCCTGTTGGGATATCAACCTATTCGCAATGTATCGCCGATCATTCTGTTTAATTTTTGTGGCTGCTGTGTATGAACCTCATGATAAATTCTGGGATTAGAATCGGACCAATATCAGCAGTTATGACGATTTACTACGCCATTTAAGAAAAAGGAACATTCGTCGGAAAAGCAAGTGTTGAATAGAAAATGTTCATCGTTTATAATTCGTTCACTCATATCTTCACAAAATTGTAATCGCTGATCAAAATCGTCTTCATTAAGTTCTTGTACCAGGTGAATTTTATGCGGATGAAAACTATAGGACTTTAGAATCCGTTTTACAGTACGTCGACTAACACCACACACAGTCTCCAATTTGCGGGTACTTAACGTAGGATCTACATAAACTTACCCTAAAACCCCCACTTCTGTTGCTTCGTTCCTTATGGGATTTTCAATGTTGCGTTTTTTATTGGCAACTGACCCAGCTTCCCGAAATTAAGCTACAAGTTCTAGAACATATTTTCGATGCACGTTACTGTTCTCATGTCGCTCATTAAATATTTCTGCTGTTCTATTAGCGCAATGATTATTTCCGAAAAATATTTCAATAATTTCAACTCTTTCTGCTGTGGAATATACCATGGTTAATTTATGTAATAAAGCGTTACAAGTTATTTTAGCAACAAAATTTGGTCAAATCAATCGCAAACTATGTACGTTACTAAATTCCTATTTAAAATTAGTACGAGATATTTCCTTCTCTTTCTTCAAGAAATAACTTTTTTGTCACAAAAAAACGCTACAGTAGCTATTTTCAACAACAAAATGATAAACAAACCATGGGCGTGGTGGAGAAAAGCATTTTATTATTTAATAAATTCTTTTAGTCAAATTTCTTCTGAAAGTAGTACAAACTAATCTGATGTTGTACGTATATATGTCCTCCTGTTTTTACAACTTATATGGACTTGCTGTATCTGATTTTATTCAGCGTGTCATAAGTTGATGTTTTCTGTCTAATTTGAACATCAGTCTTTTGTCTGACTGCTTTTTGTAATAATTTTTTTTTCTTTTGACTTGTGTAAGCACGCTGGTGTACTTAACACAAATAAAGAATTGAATTGAATTGAATTGAAAATGGTCTGGGAGGTTATTGCCTTATGGTCTTTGTTCAAGGCAATATGACTGCTGAGCGTCCTTTTTCAGCTATACAGCGCACGTCCCCATATTGCTCGTCAAACTACGGACTTTCTTCAAGAAGCAGGCGTTAAGGTTTTGCCGCGGCCACCCCGTTCACCGGATTTGATGGGGAGGAGACTATCCTCTTTGCACCATCTGCCACAGCTAATCGACGAAGCTCAAGTTGCTTGGCATGAGGTGCCACATCCAGACATCGATCATCTCATTTTGTCGATGCCTAGATGTATTTGTTTCATATTGTCAATCAAATTTCGGGAGAATGTTATCGTTTCGTTCTTGATGCAAAACTACCTCATTTTTCTGGGTGTAACACTCACAGCTTTAATATGTAGGTCAAAATTGGGACACCCTGTATAATGGCCAATATCATAGAAATGTGCCCTCAAACGTCATGTATAACATCCCATAAATAGATTTTCCAAAAATGTATTTTTTTATGAGTAATAATCCGTCCACACATGGACTCTAACCAACCCCTATATATCTGTAACCTGACATTCTGTACGATTGCTCTCCATGTTTGGCGTTTTCAGAACCGTTGAAGAGATCTACTTCATCAAGGATACTGTGGACGTCCTCTCTATTAGCATTCACCAGCTTTTTGAAGGTTGAAGACGTTACATCTCAGACAGTTCTGAAATCACACGGAATAATCACTTACTGCTATTCCAAGCTTATGCAGATCATAGCGTCTGACATATTCGCCGAACGATTGAAGAAATACGGAATCACTTCGAACTCTTGGCATCCATTCGTTTCCAAGACGCAGATCTTTGAAAACTCCATCAAACATGGCGATGGACTACTGTTCGTGCTGCTTGTGAAATACATTTTACCAGTACTGGCGGTGATGTTTAAGGTACATTCTGATTACTTACTCTATCCAAAGAATACGCGATGAGTTATTTGATATACTGAACTGTATTTCACGAGTATCATCACGTTTTAACGTGTACTAAGGTGAACAGCTGATCAGCAAGTGACATTTATGTATCAGTCTGTAAAGTTTGCAATAATGAATTCGGGTGTAAACTTGCATGTAGCGTTTTTTTGTGTGTGCAAATGAACTTTTCTAAAAAAAGAGTTATTAGCAAAATGAATGTGTAGCGTACAAAAAAGACTAAACAATTTACAGCACAGGCAGCAGCGGTGGCCGCGGTAGTAGACTCTTCGGTCTCCTGATCAGTCGCCGTGCGTGCTTAGGCCCTAGGCCTTCGTGGTAGTTGGAATATAAAAAAAAAAGCTCTGTCTACCTGGCGTTGACGGATCCATCAGACTCATGTGTAAAGACCGGATTTATATGTATTTACATGTTTTTACATATAACATAACATTTTTGGGTTTTTTTGGATAAAAACATATAACATAATATATATACTTGGAATATAAAAGAACTGATGCCGTCTGTAAGCGGTCATTCCGAACAAAAGTAAAATCTAGTTGGGCTGAATTCTGCAGCAACCTAAATAGACAGTCCTCCCCGTCTAGTATCTGGAAACGGGTCAACAAAATTCAAAACTCTAAACAGTTTCATAGACAGGATGAATCTAGTGTAGAAGCACTTCTAAACAAGATAGCTCCACCGTATGCCTCCTGTCCTTTTTTCTCTCCGCAGAGTAATAGTGAACAGCACCTCCTTTTGTCACAAATCACGTCAGAAGAGCTGAATTAAGGTCTCCAAGCTGACATCTCCAGGAATTGATGGTATCAACTACCTTATGATAGAAAATTTACCGCAATATCTATAACCGTATTCTTATCCTAGGAGAAAACTGCGATGCCCTAAAAGCCGCTTTCATCATTCCGATTCCCAAAGCAAGCGACCCCAATTCCTGTAGACTAATATCTCTAATGGCTTGCCTGTTGAAAACGTTTGAAAGGATCTTGAAGGCAAGGCTTGAATGGTGGTTGGAAAGCAACAACACTCCCCCAACATCACAGTTTGGCTTCCGTACAGGACAAGGGGCTGTCGATTGCATAGCGCATCTAGTGAGCGATATACAGATAACCTTTTCTGAAAATAACTACCTAGCATCTCTCTTTGTAGATATCTCCAGAGCCTATGACAATGTCATACCCGTGATTCTTTTTGATAAATTGCTTAGACTGAACTTACCTCAGAGCTACGCATGTGTCCTAATCAATCTATTCATTAACAGGGTCTATATCCGATGTAACAATCAAGTCGTTGGCCCGAGCACAGTACATAAGGGCCTCCCACAAGGTTCTGTTATAAGCCCCCTTCTCTTCAACATATATACTCAGGACCTACATACTGCGGGGTTGGAATGCAGTGTCTTGCAATACGCCGATGACTTCTGCTTCTATGTTAAGAATAAAGAGTATCAACAATGCATTGACATGCTCAACGTTGTAATGCATGGTTGCAACGATTATTTCTTCAACCAGGGTCTTGACATATCCCCCTCAAAATCTGCCGTCGTATTTTTTTCCCGTCACCGTTTACCTGTATGTACCATCTTGCCATTGGCCAACGTTGCGATCCCGGTTCACAGTAGTTACACCTATTTGGGTATCACGCTGGACACCAAACTGACTTGGGATTACCAAATAAACAATTGTCTTGTCAAATGCGAAAAAAGCCTGAACATCCTCAAAGCGGTTAACAGGTACAAATGGGGAGCTGATCCCAAAATAAATATCTTATTCTATACCTAGATGCTATACAAGATCGATATTAGACTATGGATGTTTCTTATATGGTTCAGCTACGAAGACTCACCTTGCCAAGCTCGATAGGCTACAGTATAAAGGTCTAAGGTTAGCCTTTAGGGCTCTGAAATCTACTCCAACAGCTACCCTGTTAGCAGAATGTCAGGAACCGCCATTACACTTGAGAAGGTTATTCTTAGCAGAAAAGTTCATTATAAAATGCAGCTTCAATGACCAAACTGCACTCACAAGAAAAGTAGCTCAACTAACCACCTCAACTTGACGCTTCCATGGTGGCAAAATAAAAACTCTCCTACACTTGCTGAAGCATACCCCAACATCTCTCTGTACAACATAGAAGGAGATAATATACCATTTTTCAAGTCTCAATACAATATTTCATTCTCAAATTTAGAGACATACATCACCGTTGCTGAAAATCCTCCCATCATGAAGCACTTACTTCACGATCTACTACAAAAATTTGTGACTCCTTGTAGAATCTACACAGACGGATCCAAATCTGAGCAAGGCGTAGGGTGTGCTGTATTTATAGAAGACGAGAAAGTGTCTCTAAAGTATAAGCTGGATCCCATCTGCTCTATTTTCACCGCTGAGCTAGCAGCCATAGATCTGGCTCTTGAGTGGGTAGTCTGCAATCGTCCGTCATACCAAAAATTCATTATACATTCATACATTATTCATTTTCACATATACCACAACAAAACCATCGTCTCAATACTGGAGAAGGAGTCTCAATTAAGACAACTAAGGAAATCTGTGGCATTTATATGGATAAAAGGTCATGCAAGAATTGAGGGGAATGAAATGGCAGATCGACTGGCTAAGGCAGCCGCCTCGTCCGGAGAAGAAAAACAATACGTAACTAAAACTGACATAGCCTCGTCGAGGAAGCTTAATATGAAAAAGAGCTGGCAAGCGGAATGGACTAATTTCTGTACCAACAATAATAACCAATACTGCAAAATTTATCCAAACCTCCCTGGCTCCCCAATAGAGCTCAGAAGCCACGTCAATAGGAGAGTACACTCAATGTACTTCAGATGTTTGGTCGGACATGCTACAGTAAAAGCTTACCTGCACCGCTTTGGTCTCGAAGAATCGGATACATGTAGCTGTGATGGGAATAGGGATGATATCAATCATTGGTTGTTCCAATGCAAATTCAACTCAACCGCTTCAGTTTATATGATGAGTGAGCTGGCTACACTTGGCGTTCCATTTCCTCCCTTCTGTATTCAAGCACTCGCAATTCATCAATTCGAAAAATTCTATGGGACTTCTTCAAGAGAGCCAGACGGAAAATATAATTAACGAGTTACACGAATTTAGAATTCAGATTGTTGTGTGACTTGAGCTATTTTTACGTGTGTTTTTCCTATCTGTTATTAAACCTACCAACCGTTGCCTGTGTTGTCTGTCTTTAAAGTCGTCATGACCGGCACCTTGACGTGAAATGTGTATCCCCGTTCCTCCCTAATCTTGGTTCTTCTATTATAATTTCCTGGTTTTGAGTAGGGCCCTGTTACCTGTATGTATGTGGATCTATACAATACTCCTAGCAGTGGATCTATATGTTTTATTATAAATTTGAGCATGTTTATATCACTCTCGTGGCCGAATAGGCTAGATCTCCTAAAGCCATTAATAAAAAAAAGGTGTTTGCTGTTCAGAGACGATGCTTGAGAATAATAGCAAACTTACAATTCAAACAGTGTTGCAAGACGACATTTATCGACCTAAAAATTTTAACTGTGCCATGCTTATATATACTGGAATGTCTGATCCACGTTAAAAATAATTACGATGATTACAGAACGCCAAAAGATATTCACAAATATAACACAAGGTTCAACAATGAATTAATCCAGAGTACACAAGACCATGAAAAACTAGACACAGCAGTGATTATTTCTGCGTGAAATTTTTTTATGCGCTGCCCAGGTTTTGTCAACCACTCAGCTCAACCATTTTTTAAGCAACTGTGAAAAGATATCTAATGACGAAAGCTTTTTACAGCATATATGAGTTTTTAAATAATGATTTTACCGACTTTGTTCCATAATTGTTGACTATTTGTTTTATTACTTTGTTTTCGTTTGGTTTTTTTGTGTATGTAATATTGTTGTATTACATTTTATTGTTCTCCAGACGTGTGTAAGGACTTTTGAATACAAACATGAAAAAATTATTAATATTTCTTAATTTTTCAACCATCTTATTTTATTGCTCATATAAATTTTTAACTAGTTTTTTTACCTTTTATTGCCACTTTGTGTTTTACGTTTGTCTTATTTTCGTATTGTTGTTTTTACTTACTCTTTTATGTTCTACTCTAACTGACCTGCGCAAACACATTTTTTGTGTAATAGTACCAATAAATTTACAAGAAGAAAACTAAGATTGTTCACTTCTATTTCAGACTGCAAGGGAAGGAGCACAAACAGGCGTACACCTGGCATGCTCAAACGAGGTATCAGACATAACTGGAGAATTCTTTGCCGAAGGTGCTCGAAGATACAAACCATGCGGTGCTCGTGATGAAAACCTCTGTAAGGAAGTTTGGAGACTCTCGGAAGAAGCTGTCAAATTGAAACCAGAAGAAATTATTTTGTGATCGCCTGCTGTCTTCAACAACTACTAGGAACCCTATAAAATAAATTTGCCATGAATCAAAATACGTAGAATTTTTTGAATAATTTTATTTTTCAATATAATCCCTACCTACATCAAGGCACCATTTCTCCGCCCATATAAAAAAATGTTTCATCTTGGCACTCAGAAAAGTCGTCGACGGCTGCTGTTAGGCCATCCTGATCGATGACTCTTCTCTAACAGACAGTCTCTCGATCATTTCGCACCGGCGCACAGTGTGTTCCTTTATAGGGATCAGGGACAAAATTCGATATCTTAAAAACTCGTGGTCCTATTTGAATTCTGTAAACGTAGGGCGATTACTTATTTAAGTAGCTTTCTAAAGTATGACAAAAATTTTTAAGATAATAAGAAGGGGTGGGGGAGCAGGCGGGATGCATTTCGCATAAGTCTTTTTTTTTGTAAAAGTCAAAATATTAAGTTGATGATCTCGAATAAATTGGGATAAGGTAGGATATTATTATAGCATTCTTAAGAGAGACAGAAAAATCACGCTTTTATTTTTCAAGATCTTTACCGAATGATTTAAAAGATAATATAGCCAACTTGTGGCGGGCGCAATATGATTTATTAAATTTGTCTATCTATTTGAAAAAATAATAAGAATAATTCAAATAAAAAATAAATCTGTATAATTTGAAATTGATATTTAGGTTTTTATTTAAAAAAATATATTTAACAAAATAACAATTACTTAGTAGGTAATGTATGAAATAATAATATAAATTATATTAAAAAAATAACACCAAATATACCCATTCTAATCGGAATAGGATTTCTTGCTCGGTGCTGTGTCATTCGTTATTGTACCTAATTCAATACCTAAATCATCATTTTCTTGCTTTTTTAAAGAGCTCTGAACTGCCTCGTTGCATTTCTTATATTTTTTTGAGCTCACCTTTCTTTTTGAGGATATAAAAGGATCAGAAGTAAGTAAAAGAACACGCATGAGATCCTTATTCGCATCTGTTCTTGAACATTTTCTGGTGTGAGATAATCGATGTTTCCTAACCGCTTTATGGCGAGCCTCAAGCGCATCCTCCGACAGTTCTCCAATGAGCAAACAAAATGCATCAATTATCTCACACCCATGAACAAGGACCTTATGTACCGTGTTTGGCATGTTGTACCACTTATAGAGGTGGATATACAAATTTCTTGCTTCTTCCAGCAATGACGCAAACTTTTCCATATCAATAGCGCAACCACTAGCTAAAACTCCTAAGATGATCGGAAATTTCTCGATTAATTCCCTGTCAACCCCTGTGATATCTGAACTTGTTTGTGGATTGTGGAAAAAATTCTGGCCGTAATGCCATCATTTGAGGAGCCATACCCGGGTTTTGGTTTGTCAACTATTAGAGACAGCTTGGCTCTGAACTCTGCTTGGATTCGTTTTTTGTTTGCTTCGACTATAGCTTTGTTTTCAAGCCCACGAACCTGCCAAGATTTAATTGGCAGGCGGTATCCAATATGGAGTAAGCATTCAAAAAAACGAATCCAGCAGTGTAAAGTTGACAAATCAAACCGGTAATGGTCTACGTTAGGAGGACGGTTAATCCCTGCTCACGTGTTCATGTCCTTGGGTGTGGCTCCGCAAATGATGCACTTCATAGTTGAATTTGTCTCTGATAGAAAGTTTCCAACACTGCCGTCCAACATTGTTAACATCATATCAACTTCAATTATATAAGAGTGTTCTTTTGTTTTAATCTCAATAGGAATCAAATTTTCAATTTTTGTTATTATTTCCTTTTCCGTATTCCGCACTAAATCAGCATTTTCCTTTTTAAATAAAAACTTGATCCGCCTACAATATAAAGTAGATGAAGGGCCTCTCATTTTTCTACAATACCTCATTCGTTTCCATATCAATCAATCTGAGTGGCGTCATTGCTACAAGAAACAGAAATTCGTCGGTGTTTTCTAAATCAGAAAATTTCTGCTTATATTGGCTATGCCCAGAACTGCCATCAAATCCCCACTTGCATATCACTTTAATCCGGCAATCTCTCTCTTCAAAATTTATTATTTCAAGGATACTGCTGTTTTCTGTACAAGTTCTTGCATATCAACTTCTGCAGAAATTTCAGTAATAATAAATTGTGAAGGGAGGATAGCATTTTTTGTTTTCTGTAATTCTTTATAACTAGGAAGGCAGTTCTGGGCATTACCATTAATAACAGACCTAAGTAGCAAATACTTTCTTACGGATATATCCAAATCTACCATAAGGGCTAAAGCTTCAGCTGTACTAAAACTAAAAATTTGTGGCGAGACCTCACTGTGATTGCTTCCAGAAACGACATTTACAGCAAATTGAAGTTCATTTGCAGATCTGTCTGTGGTTAGTTCGGCTACACGTCTTCGTTTTGTTTCTTCGATGCCTCTTCAAATGGCACCCGTGGCCGTCCAACTGAGCGACAAGGAGGTTCTTGTTCCTCATCCAAAGATGTTTTCCTCAGAATCATTATTTATTCTATATATAATCTTGTCTAACCAATATACCTGATTTTGTAAAAGTCGATTCCGAGATTGTCCTACTTTCTGCCATACTATACTTACGTGTTGCAGTGACTATTTATCTATCCAATGGTATAATAAAAGCAACAGAATTCTAATGTCAAAAATTATGTTTTTGAGTAATTTTGTCCATTGCGGCGGACCGTCGGCAAACTAGCTCTATTCTACCGCTACACCAACCTTCTTTGCTCCTCAGAACTCTCCTCCATGATGTCGCCTACCAGATAGATCCTTCCAACTTCAGCCTCTCATCCTAACCGTTTTTACGCTTGACGCCAGTGATACGCTCGGCGTCGTCACCTTGAGAATTTCTCGTCAGATCACCATGTGATTCCCGACGTGCAATTCGGTTTTCGGTCTGAACATAGTACAGAGCAACAAGCGGTTAGGCTAGTGGAACGTGTAACCAGAGGATTCTCCCTTAACGAAAGTACTGGCATCTTGCTTTTGGATGTCTCAAAAGCATTTGACAAGGTGTGGCACGCGGGCCTCTTGTATAAACTAATCCAAAAGGGCTTCCCTTTTTGGCTTCTAAAACTACTGAAATCCTTCCTTGAAGGTAGGAAATTTTGGATCAAAATTGACAACGTCCTGTCGACAACACGGCTGATTACAGCCGGCGTCCCTCAGGGTTCGGTCCTTGGACCTATCCTTTACTCACTGCACATCCATGACGTCCCTAGTCCCAGCAACTGTGAAGTGTATCTCTATGCTGACGATACTGCATTGGTGGCTCAGTCGTGGTCTGGTGACCTAGTCCATGACAGGCTGCAAGGTGCGGTGGAGGAAGTATTAGATTGGGCGGATCGGTGGCTAATTAAAATAAACCATTCGAAAACGCAGGCAATCTACTGTACAAAAAGACGTCGCGGCGTTCCGTCTGAAGTTGTAAATGAATGGACTTCGTATACCATGGGAATCCTCCGCTAAGTATCTCGGTGTCATTCTGGACAAAGGGATGACTTGGCGGAACCATATGGAAGCGCTAAAAACTAAATTCCAAATTACGTTTCGGCAGCTTTACCCATTATTATGAAAACGGTCAAAATTAAGTTTGATTAACAAGATTCGACTCTATAAGGTGGTCATAAGACCAGCAATGACTTACGCATGTGCGGCTTGGTGTTTTATTGCTAAAACACACATGCGAAATCTGCAGGTTCTGCAAAGCAGGACGTTGCGCACTATTGCTGATGCCCCATGGTATGTCTCTAACGAAACTCTACATAGAGACCTCGATGTCCCTTACCTAAAGGACTACATTAAGCAACAGGCGCAGCGGCGCTATAGCCTAGCGGAATCGCACAGCAACCCTCTGTTGCGTGAGTCAGTGGACTACACAGTCGAGCAAGTTCGCAAGCACAAAAGGCCGCGGATCGCACTGTAATCAAAATTAACTCGTGAACTTAGAACAACCAAAATTGGAGCATTTTTACACAATCTTTAGAAAAAAAAAATCAAATATTTTTAGACCATATCAAAATCTGTGAAGTGATTTTAACAATGCCTAAACGCTGCCTATCCTAAAAGATTCTCTTCTTCCCCTTTGCTCTCGTTCTTCCTTCTCTCATTTCCTTCCCCTTTTTTCCTTAAAATTGTCTGGTTTCAGGGTTACCAGACCTGACAGACTTACAAACTGACACTGTGACTCAAGAGCAAAGGTCCCACGGTCCGCTCTGACAACCAACGATGACTTGATGACGCTCGGCGCCAAGGCGTCAAAAAAAGTGTATAATATGTAATAACCAGTCTTTATCAAACATTGTTAAGATTTAGCGAAAGAAAACTAAATCAGTACTACAGTGGTATCTTAAATCAAATCAAAATAAATAATGTATTCTTGATTCCAACATTTTTTAAAATAGAGAGACAACAAAACAGAAGTATCAACTTATGGTCTACTGTGTTACGCTTGGCGCCAAGGCACCAAAATGCTATGTCTTTTACACAACCTGCTGGGCAAGGTGATGCGTTACTACAGAAGGGGGGGGCAGATATGCCTATAGTAAGTATGCGCACTGGATGGTGAAACATAAACCAGTGATCTTAACCTAATGGATAATGTTACAACAACAAATCGGGTGCTCTATATTCCAGCTCTCCCAGGAACCTGAAGTTTTACATAAATAAACCTTACAGCCTAATCTGACCTGCAATCCCTCGAATCACCTGTTGGAGGTCACCTGGTGGTGTCAACCAGCCCTCAGATGGTCAAATGTAGGCATGCAGCAGGAAGCAGAAGACGTTGAAGATAAGAAACAGAATAAAGAAAACGAAAAAGGCCTGTGGACAAGAGTCAAGCATAAGCTACATGCACTTCAAAGCAATTAATCAGGCACTACATGAGTGCTTCTAGCAGCAGCTAAAGGCATCAAAAAAAGGTAAGCACCTAGGGTGTAGGGTGGCCTTTAATGTAGAGGGAAATCTCCCAATCTGAATAATCCCACAATACTAGTGGTGCACCTATAGCACTTGGAATTGTGAAGATTTCCTTTTTCAGCTATTTTCCGGTACCATATCCGCCTTTGCGTAACAGACGCTTCGTTCTGTACCGAAAATTTGCAATGGCGATCCCTTTTCTTTTTTTTTCCTTATTGCCCGCGTCTCGCGTCTGACATTTAAACGCCAGTTGACATGCTATCATTCTCACCTTTGACAGTGACAGCCGACTTGATACCTGTCCGCAAACTTCATTGCTATTAAGGTTATAAAATTGTAAACAATGATTAGGGTGGCTTCAGGGCACTAATTTATGAAAGTGAACAAGTAATTTGACTTCAATAGTGTGAGTTGAGTATCTGCTACTTATTAAGTTTTGTTTCAGACTCGTTAGTGCAGGTCCACCAGAAGGGAGCGGATCAACAGGTGAAAACAGGAATGAAAATGCTATGTACAATGTATACACCTTAGGAAAAACCATTGTTATACATGGGAAATCATTTCTTGGCAACAGCGCATCGGCTAGTCTACTTTCATCGCTATTCCTACATATTTCCTACCGTTAACGCGCGTGCCGTCGTCAAGTGCGATAAGGGATTCATGACTCACTCTGCGGTTGGGTTTTGTGTAGGAAAGGTGCGTCTTTATTTAATCCAAAATATCTTAAAAATGTACTCGCAAGAA